CAAACAGCAGAGATTCAAGGGGAAATGGAGAGAGAACAGCTGCCACAGGGACACACCACTCCAAGTACCAGGCAGGTGAACAGACAAAAGCTAAGTGAGCAAAGACAGGGCCCTGCATAGGCACTGTGTCAGTTACATAAATACGTAAGTTTACACAGTAGAGAGTGAACTTTATTTTCAAGCACACACATGGAACATGGTAAAATTTGGTTACAAAGAAACCAGAAGTAAGTTCCAGAAAGCAAGAAATTAATAACAAAATAAATAAAAACAGTCCTTAACCAGGAAATTGAATTAAATATCCAACTCTTAAACAAAAGGCAAAAATATACAGGCAAAAGACAATAGACAATACAGAAATTCTACATATTAAAAGCTATAGGATGCATTTAAAGCAGTGGGCAGAGAAAAAAGCATAGTATTGAACACTTATGGAAAGAAAAATAAAGAAAAATAATAAATTAAATAAATTTTCACTTCAAAAAATCTAGTACAAAAAAACAAAGTAAACCACAAGGAAGTTCAAGGAAGACAATGCTAAAGGTGACAGTGAAGTTAATGAGGTGGAAGATAGAAAACTAGATCTAACTAATGAATCAAATCTTATTATTTGAAAATGAAACTAGGCAAATTGCAAGCTGCTAATTATACATTAATCTACAGGTAAGAAAATAATCATTGAAACAGATAAAATTTTAAAATAATTTTAAGAAACCATTTGCAAACCATCACCAATATTTTTATAAAATTAGTCATAAATTCTTAGTCCATCTATTTGAATATTCCTGATCCAGATAAAACTGTAACCTAGTACAATAGGGTTTTTATTCTTTCAAAATAGTTCTACAAAGCTGTAATAATCAGGGAGGGGCAGCCATGGAGACCAACAAACCGGAACAGGGAGCCCTGGGACTGACCCGCACAGCTCCACTTCCCTGATGTTTGCTCACTTCGTGAAAGCGCTTCTAAGAAGGAGCACAGCTCCTTCACCAAAGGGAAGTGGTCCTTCCATATCCACAAGCAAGGCGGGAAAACTTAAACTGAGACACACACGTACGAAAAAATAACTCAGACTTAAAACTAACACAACATAAACGTAGGAATAAAGCTAGAAGACTTTTTTTGAAAAGAAGAAAAATCTTGGTGCTAGATAAAGAATTCTTATGGTATCACACTCTTGACACCAACAGTACGATACATAAAAAGAAAATCTGACACACTGGCCTTGGCAAGATTCAAAAATTTGTTACATAGAAGCATCTGTTAAATGAAGGAGTAAACTCTCCACAGACTGTGACAAGATGACACCATAACTTCACGCAAAACTACCCTAAGCGGGAAACAAGTCACATTTGTCTAGAGAGTGAATTAGACAAACTGTAGTTGCCGTGCCGTGCCGAGCAATGAAAGAGGTAAAATGGTGATAGATGAAACAATCAGAGGAATCACTACAGCTACACGGGTGTAAAGGCCAACCCCAAAGGTCGCGTGCTTGTGTTCCATTTATATCACAACATCCTGGGGGGCCAAAAGGTTTAAAGACAGAAACCAGATTAGTAGTAGGGGTGAGGTCAGGAAGGAAGTGGCCGAGACACTGCAGGGCACCGTGAGGGTCCCGCGAAGGTGGCACCCTTTCTACATCATCTTAGTGTCTGGTTGTGATATTGACCCCCTTCCTCAAAATTTTATTTTTGGAAGGAACTTGGTAAAGCGTGCAGGACTTCTGTATTATTCATACCACTGCTCATAAATCTACAAGGATCTTCAAAGGAAAGGTGTCATTTAAATTTTTTAATCAAACCAGAAAATGTCTAGACAAAGACACAGATGAAATCTGTCTATTTTGCTTGTAGAATATCTAAAAGCCCTTTGCAAACTTTAAAATACCAAAATAAACACAAAAAATAGTCACAGCATTACATTTGAGCTGATGCCTTCAGAAGCTTAGAGAGCTCTGCAGCGGGGAAATTCAAACCTCTCAAGAAAAAGACTTAACAAAGGATGTGAGTGGAGCGTTCATACGGTAATAAATGCAGTTACCAGGACCTCTACTGAGAGAGTGCAATCCCAGTGGAATTAACAGACACAAAACATGAATCTGGGTTTGCTGCCCAGCTGAGCCGTGCATGTTTAACACGGCAGTGAAGGTTTCGGGAGCCAACTTCGGCCAGGTGGATGCCAGCGTGTCACGGTTTAGCTGGATTCTTAAACATAACTCACTGAGCTGGCAACCGGATGTCAGGAAGATTATTTTCAATGATCAGCAATGAAGTGGACTTCTATTTATAGAGATATTTATCACACCATTGATACTAGTAAAGAACAGGAACCAACCTCAATATTCAACAAACGTAAAATAAATAGGGATAAATCTGCATAATATATGCATAAACATATTCTATTCCAGAAGAATAATTAATGGCCTGGTAAAATGTTCCCAATGTATTATGAAGAACAAAAGGCAAGACAAATGAATTTAAAAGTTTGTTATGAAAATAAATGCATATCATATGATAGGCATGGAAAATGTAAGAAAACACAGATTACAATCAGTGGTTATTTCTGGGCAGCAAAATTATAGTTTATGTGTATATTTTATTCTTTTGCATATTTAAATACATTATATAGTCAGAAAATAGCAATTTTTAAAATAAGACAGAAAGTCCACCTTCTGCACTGTGAAAGCCGTCTCTTATCGGAAGAATTTTTAATGGGCCACAAAAGTCAAGCACAGGCATCCGCAGCTGCTCCTCAGGCCACTGCACAGACGAAGACCACACACCGGGTAGTGACCGACCCAGGAGCACAGACGGCCCTCACCAGAGGACACGGCTGGGAGATGAACCGCAGAGAGGCAACACAGGCCCGGCTCCTCGCTGCTGGGCACGGGCGGCTTCCTCCACCCCAGGACACAGATGTGGCTCCTGAGGTCAGCGGCCAGTGAGCTCCCGAGCAGACTCCCCACGCTTTCTGAGACGCCGAGGTCCCTGCTCTCCCTGCCCACACTGCCCACACTGCACACCAAGCCTCACCATCCACCTCCTGGTTCAGGGGAACTCGGAGCCCAGCTCAGCGGAGGCAGTGCTGGCTCCCAGGCCCAGTGGGTGTCACCTGTAGCCTTGCTCAGAGTACTTCCCTGTGAGCCCTTGTCCTGCCTGTGCTCCTGGCCGAGGACAGGAAGGAAGTGGAGGTGAGGAAGGCCATCCTGCCAAGGCCACCGCCACATCTGTCACAGAGAGTTCTGTCCCAAGCAGAATAATTCTTAGGAACAGGGCTGCTCCCTCTCTCTCAGCTGAGGCATTTGACAGTCCAATAGGAGTGAGGCGGTGGAGCTTGGAGCATGGCCCCTCGTCCCTTAGCCGCGGGGTCGCATGTGCCAGAGTCCTGTGGCAAGATGCACGGTCAGGCTCCCCCAGGGCTGGGGCGCTGGCCCAGCACCTCCTTCCTGCCCACACCCACGGCCCCCAAGAGGCTCATCCACATTAGCAACTCGGCAAAAACGCTAGGATTGCTGGATTCTCAGGATCTGTGGAACAGCCAGTAGAGTACCTCCGCACAAAGCCAGCACTCCACTATAGCAAGCTCCATGTTGTCTCGTCACAGTCTAAAGACAGTTTATTCATTCCTTTAATAGATTCTTCCACATAACAAAGTTTTAGATCTTGATAAGGTCAGATGTGTCAAATTTTCCTTTTACGTATTACACTTTTGGTGTCAAAAAAATGATACCATAAGAATTTTTTAACCCTAGATGCCAAAGATGTTTCTCCGAGAGTGTGACTGTGTCCCTCAAGTTTCATGTGCTGGAAAGTTAACCCCAGTTCACACTGAGGGCATCTGGGTTGTGAGGCTTCTGCCTTCACAAACAGATGACGGGAACAGCTTCATCTTGAAGCACCCTTCAGGCCCGCTTGCTCTGCTCACCACGTGATGCCCACTGCCATGTAACAATGCAGCCAGGAGCCCACGGGTGCCAAGAAGGTGCTAGCACCACACTCTGGGACAGCCCAGCCTTTCCAGAACTGAATCAGATAAACCTCTGTTCATTATAAATCACCCAGTCTTACCATTTTGTTCTATTCTGCTACAGTAACAGAAAATGGGCCAAGCCCACACTCAGCCCTTTCCTGGCGTGCCCAGCCAGCTCCCTTTACCAGCCTAGGCCTGGCTGGAGGCCCTTCAGAGGAGCAGGTGACTGGGCAGGGACCATAGGCTCTGTGAGCCATAAGTCACCCTCTACTCAGGCACAGCGGAGACCGCTGCTTGTCACACAAAGGCTGGCTCTGCAACCCACAGCTACACTTGCATCCAGCCGTGAGCTGATAGTCAGAGCCCCTGATGGAAACGCAGCTCCACCGGCTGGAGAACGGTCACCTGGACAGCGCAGTTCACTAGGCTCTCTAACCTGCTCACAGGTGCACTGCAAACACAGGCACAGCTGCCGAGGCCCCGAGTGGACGTGGTGCTCTCAGAGCGAGTTGCCTGCATGGGGACCAGCTGTGTCCCCCTCCCATGTCACCTCACCACACGGCCTTCAGAGCTCACGCCGAATCCTGCCTCCCTACCTGCCATGACACGACCATCCTGGCCCAGCCCTAGCATCACCTTCGGGTCCTTGCTAGTGAGGGTTCTGTCTGTGTGACCCAGCAGGAGGCTGCCAGATGCCTGCCTCACACCATGTGTACCGGCAGGAAGCCTCAGTCTGGAGCAGAGCTTTGGAGACAAAGCAGTAGAAAATTAGCCCGCAAGCCAACAGTCACATCCTGACCCCGATCAACCTGGAATGCTCCAAACTGAGTCACCCTCACCACGAGAAGCTGATACAGAAATAACTGTTTACCATGTTATTTCCCTAGCTAACCTCATCTATACCAAAGTCCCTCTAATTGCTAAAACATGCTCATCCTAGTGTTTAGCAATATGCATTGTTTTTCTTCTTAATTAAGCAAGCTCAGGAACTAGATAGGCAAATGAAAATTTAAAATGGGTTTCTTAAGTACCTGAAAAATTCCATGAAGGAAAATCCATATCCATGCTGCTCTGCAATCCCTGCACAGACGACATTTGCAGATGCTCCAATCAGCGTCCCATTCCCTGGAATCAGAATTTTAAAAATAAAGTGAAATCCCAGCATCTCTTGGCAGCAGACTGCGGTTCCCTTTTGTTCTGTAATATCTGGATCATTCTGCAGGCTTTGATTTGATGATTACTTTACAGGCACCATCAAAGTGAATGCTTTGCAAATATCTGGAAACATACATCCTGGCAAGCAGGAAACAAATTCTCTGTCTGTAAATACCGTGATTTCTTCACGGACGAGACGACAGCTGCTCTACATGACGGAAAGAAGGAGATGGGAAGGAGCAAGGACAAGCCACTGTGGAATCGGGGGCAGGTGTGAGTTACGGGAAAACGCAAGCAGTGGTGGGGCACACATCATTAGCAGCAATGGAGTGAAATCTCAGACCACTGCCTTCCTTGGGACTCCTGGCCCGGAGTCTATCGGGACACTCCTCCAATCAATAAGAGAACACAAGAAAACACAAGAACACAAGAAGCAGTTGTGCTGCCTGACACTGGTCACCAAAATCCATCTCCTTCCCAGAAAATGTCACCATGAGTAAGCATTTGTGATGTGAGGAGACCCTCTGTACTCACAAACACACCCCGACCCCCACAGCCTGGCGAGGAACAGAGCCAAGGCTGGCAGGGACATTAGATCTGCCCCTTCTCTCACACCCCCTGCAGCCAGGGCTCCCGAAAGGGCGAATCTGCAAGGCCAAGTCAGTGGGCCTCTTCTCTCCTTCCGAGCTGCCGTGATCTGGGTTTGAGGGTGGGCACGTGACCCAGCATCCGTCAGCTTAGCTCATTTCTGACCTCTGTGTGAAGATTAGAGGAGCAGCTCTCTTTGGAGGCAGCATGTGGGAAGGTAACTCGAAGAACTGGCACCAAAACGTTTTTATTGGGAAGAAGAAATCCATGTGAGAATGGCTCCAAACAGCTTTCCTATGCCTTGAATGTCAGAAAGATGAGTCGGCAATGCTGGGTGTTTTCTGACTTGCTCTCAGGAGTGATGAACAGAGAAGTCATTGCCAGGACCCCTTCCCTCTACCCAGAACACATGTCTTCAATTTTCCTTGGCTTCAAATGACCATGGCCTGCCTGCTGCCACAATAGTCACAAGCCAGAGACAGAATCCATCAGCCTGACACCCCCTGTCATCAGCAGGGGAAGAGATGTAAGAACAGCTATGTCATACTCAGTGAGGACGGGCACCTCCTTCCTTGGCATCTGACAGGGTGCTCGTGGGGTCTCCACAGGTTAAGCAAGTGACTGCACTATTCAGAAGTCAGGGTTGTTGTGGTACAGGTGCTCCCTGACTTACACTAGGGTTGTGACCCCGTAACCCTATTGCAAGTTAAAAGGTTTTAAGTGTAAACTGCGCTGGATGCACTCACCTCTGGGCCACCTAGCAGAGCACCACAGTAACTGTGGAGCATCAGCTACTTCCTCTCAGACCCGCTGCCGCTGCCCAGCATCGGGGGTCAGGGGAATTTTGCCCCTTATTGTTGCCCCAAAAAAGAGCAAAGCTCACAATCCAAGCCATGGCTCTTATTGAGTGCATATTGATCTTGCACCATTGTAAAGTCAGAAAATTATAAGTCAAACATTAGATGTCAGAGGCCATCAGTAGTAGCCGTCATGATACTAGCAAGGTTTTGATGGTACCTCAAATCCATGGGTTCCATGAGGTAGAGAAAAAGCCTTAAGCATTACTATCCAAGCTCAGATTTTCTCCCCAGTTTCTGTTAACGTCCAGGCAGATGGGGTGCTCTGCTGTTTGCCTTGGCACCTCTAGGTTATGAGACAGGGAAGTATGATCCACAGATCTAGAGCCAAACCAGTTTCTAAAATGATTCCCTGCCCCGTTTTGATGCACACTGCATACAAAGACTCTCCAGTCTGATTTCCTGAGTCTGCCAGGAAAAGGCCACCTTTTTAGCCCAGTGCTACTCTACACCCTTGCATTTCCCTTGGCAAGATCAAGAACTACCTGTCCTTCAAGACGTGAAAATGATCTATGGAGAGCAACGGGTTTTAACCCAGCACAGGCTCTTGGGCTGCCCACGGATTGCCGTGGCTTGGATGTGGTCTGCACTTTCCTCGTTCACTGTTCCTCCCACTTCCTCCAACACCGTCTCCCCTGCCCCAGGCCTGCGGAGACGAAAAGTCTCAGTGTGCAACCTTGTCTCAGCCTCTGCTCTCCAGGAAACTCAAGCTAAGAGATTTTTCAAAAGACTCGTTGACTTGTATTTTTATTTTCTCATGTGAAAGAAGCCATGAGATACTTAAGCTTGTGTGTCTGATTTATTTCACCAAACATGATCTCAAGGTGTACCCAGTTCACAATAAAGGACTCCAGGTTATCCTTCTCCACAGCAAAGCAGTGCTCCTTGGTATGTAAATACCTCCTTTTCTTTTTCCTTGTTTGCTGATGGACATGTAGACCGCTTCTGAGGTTTAGCTGTTAAGAACTGTGCTGTATACACAGGGGCAATACAATGTCTTTATCTTTTTTGAGAAGATATCCAGAAGGGGAATAATTAGGTCAAATGGAATTTCTAGATTTAATTTTTTGAGGAACCGGCATTCTGATCTTCATAGTGATTATACTAGTTTACATTCCCACCAACAATGAAGAAGGAGTAAAAAATAAAAACTGCCATGTATAGTGGTGTGTGCCTGTAATCTCTGCACTCAGGAGGCTGAAGCAGGAGGATCACTATGATCTTGAAGCCAGCCTGGGCTACATAGTGAGTTCAAAACCAGTCTGCACTGCATACCAAGACCCTGTCTCTAAATAAATAAATATTTAAAAGGACTTGCTTGACTTGTATTTAGCTTACTAAAAATAAAAGAAAAGCAACTAAAAAATACTAGAATCAGGCCAGTAAAGAATTTTTGTTTGTTCCAAATGAGCTAGTGAATCTCCTCCAATTTATACAGCAAATGATATTTCTAATGTCAAATCAAACATCCGTCTAAAAAGTTCTTTAAAGTGTTCAACCTAGCAGAAGAAATGACCGTCTTGTTCGTGTGGGGTTTCAGCCTGGATGATGAAGAGTTCGGGAACTGGACAACAGCGATGGAACAGCGTGAATCACAGACACGGCCTGGGCTGCAGCGTGAGGGCAGGACGTGAACAAGGAACCACGTGAGTTAACCACGTGTGCAGGACAATGTGAATTGCCATACCGCTGGAGTGTGACTGACAGCCACGTAAATTAGGAGCCGTGTGGATGCATCTAATGTCACTGAACTGCATCCCCAAAATGGCCAAGGTAGTAACCTTTGTTATATGTATCTTACCATCATGTGTGTCTAATGCTAAACCCACGGTGATGGGAGCAGAGTCTCCACAGACCCAGTGCAGAGCAGTGCTCCAGTGACCAGAGCTGCAGGGCTGAAGGAATCAGAGCACAGAAGTCTGTGCTGCTCAGGCTGCTTCCGGATGTGCCCAGGGTTCAGTGTCTGGCCCCAATGTAGGTTGTTGGTCTTCAGGTCATTAGCTGTCAGTGTCCGTCCTCAACACCCCCTTGACAATCACCTTACATTTTAGGGGTGAAGAGGAGCTAGCGTCCTGGCCTCTCCCCTCCTGTGACTCTTTCAGAGCATGTCCTTTGGGAGCTCCTCTCCTGGCCCTTCCTGCAGTGTCTCCCGGCACCCCACCATCGCCTACCTAGGTGACTATCTCCCATAGTCTAGAGTAGGATGATGAACTGATCACCCAGCACATGAGTGAGGATCAGTCCCATTCTGGCAATCTGGACTCTTTCTCCACCGCTAGCATTAGAAGTAGCTATGGATGACATACACCCTTGTCGCTCCTTCTCAGACTATTTCAACATTTACACCCATTCTGTCCTCTGTACCCAGAAGTACCCGGGCCTCTTCATGAAGTACGAATTCGCTGCCTCCTGAAACCTTACTGAATGACACTAATCCTGCTTCACACACAAGGAAATAAACTAACCAGAAAGTTATTGATCTAATAGTCAGAGATCAGTCAAAGAACAAAGAAAGCTGGATTATCTAAGCATGCCTGGATCTGAGAAAACTTAAAATCTACCTGCTGTGTTTGTCTGAGACCCTCTGTAACCTGCTGGGCTCCCAAAGGTGATTAGGCTCCCTCAAGGTGGAAGGACTCTGTGCCCCTCAGGACAGCCCTAGCGCCTCGAGTTTGGTCACCAGAGGTCAGCTTCATCTGACACTTGTAATCTGTTTTGCAATTTCTTCAAAGTGAAGTCCCCAAAACCCACCTGAAGCATCTTTCATGTGCCTTCTGCTTCTCAAGGCTTACCCTGTCCATCACTTAGCCCAGTCCCGTCAGAGAGAGGAGAGGGAGGGGAGCGAGGACAGCTGTGCCGAGGACATTCTGGCTCTTAAGTGCAGGGCTCTTGAGTTCAGGCATGGGAACATTAGCTCTGAGACATCAAGTATGACTGTCCTCGGGCAGGAAGTTTAGACTGTCGTGGCAGCTCTGAGTGAGAGGTGCCAGTGCCCACAGGGGAAGCCAGGAGCTGCGAAGCTGTTCCAAAGCTCAGGCTACGGCCCCTCAAGACCCACTGGGTGCTCCTTTGTTTTCTCTCAGTTTGCTGTGCACTACCTGCTGCTTCAGGACAGAAAACGGTGCCTCTCCCCCTACACACACAGGCAGTGCCCCTTACCTCCTAGGCAGGCGCCAAGGGCCAGGGCGTACATGAGTGGCATGGCAGGCAGGCTGACCCCAGGGTCTTGGCTCAGGCTCAGGAGCACAGGAATCTGTGGGCAAAAAGGACGTTGTTGTGTCTCGAAGAAGCACACAAGGGCTGCAGCTCTGGTTGGCCACATCCAGGTGCTTTTCCAGCAGGCGGACTGTGAGGGTCACAGGATGCATGGACAGAAACTAAAGTGAACTTTGGCTTCCTCTCAAACCATACCTGTCTGATTCCAGCCACATGACCATGGGCCCTCTTCCCCCACTGCTGGGGATCATAAACAGGGCACAGTCATGTCAAGTCTAAAGCGATGCCTGGATGTATAAAAACCCAACCAGCGTTTGCGAAGTCCACACTACCTTGATGCACACATCATCTTAGCTAATCCCAGACAGCGTTTGGGTAAGACTGCTATTCCTTCCATGATAGACAAGGAAACCAGGACACAGCAAGACCCAGAAACATGGAGCTCGACTAAGCTGTTCCTCATCTCTGCCCTGAGTCAGTCATCCCAAGCCTGGGTCACTCACAACAGGACAGCCGGCATCAGATCGTATGGTGTGTCGTTTGCCAGTAAGCCACGGCAACCTCGCTCACACCATCCTGACAGAGATGAATTTCACATTATCCTAACAAAGTATGTAGTGGCCGTGGAAGATCTCAGAGAAATCGGTGTCCAAAAATGTGCTGCTCCTAAGTCTCCCTGAGTGTCTTTGTAAAGGACATTTTGCTGTCCTTGGGACACGTCACAACTACTCTTCGCTCGGACTGTTGGTCCTGAGTGTGCCACTTGTGTCTGGGGCCATGGCGCCAGCAGCCGGCCACTTGATGGCTAGCCTGTGGGTCATGGAAAGTGAACGCTCCCCACCCCTGGGTACTGCAGTGGGCAGCCCTGTCCCGCCCAGGCCGCCCTGTGACCCATGGAGTTGGTCAACACACTGCTCCACATCCGCAGGAAACAGCAGCCCTATCTTGTCTCTCTCTGTCTCTGGTGTCTCTCCCAAAGGCACAGTTGGGCCGGCACAAGAGGGGCCTGCAGAGCCTCAGCCTTCCATCCTACCACTGCTCCTGCTCTTTGACCCGCAGCACAGCCCGCTGGGCCTGGTTCCGAGTTCTGTACTATTCTGCACCTGAATGCAATAGGATGCACTAAAACAACATCAAATAAAATGCAAGAGCTAAAATTAGATGCTGAGGGCTTTTTCCATGTCAGCTGTCACAGTCACCCACGATGTTTTTCCTAATCCTCCTTGTGGGGCCTGGAGAGACACCCAGGAGAGGAGAAGCGGGACAGCCTTGAAAGCATGACTTCTGCACAGAGGTTGAACAGCAACACAGATCATGGTGAGCACCCAAGGAGTCAGCCAAGGAAACCCACAAAATAATGCGCACAAAGTATCATTCTTTGAATTCAACAATCAAGATAAGAATAATAACATTTTAACTTGAAAACAGCCCAAGATGTTAGAAAGATCAAATGTCAACGAAGAAAAACTGCCAGAGAATTCTGTCAGAATTTACAATGTATTTAGGATTTGCAGTGTTATAGGCGGCTAAGTTAGATAAAAATATTACAGGCAGGCAGGCAGGGCTGAGACCTTCAAGGAGCCAGTGCAGGAGATGACACACCTTGCAACTGTGAGGGAGACAGACACTCCGCTGTGGGCCAGACCTCAAGATAAAAGATGGAAGGAACACACCACACACTGCCCTTAAGGATACACAACAGGGATTGACACTCTAGGTCTCCAGCACCTTGAGGAAGCCAGGCGGAGCCCTGTTCTGTTTCATGCCCGTTGCTATGTGACTTGATTCCCCATTTGATCCTGACTTAATCAATTTTACCTGAGCAATTATGCTCGTGATCTTACTGGTTGACCACAGTTCTGCCCACCTCGTGCCCACTGTGTGAGTTCCCATTTTTCCCCACCTTGGGCTTGCTTCACCTCGGGGTTTTGCTCTATAAAAATCTCTAGAAAAGGCTGGGTCTTTGGCACTTATATTCTGTTCTTAACCTCCATTGTTCCTAACATTGATCCTTCGGCTTTAGAGAACACGAACTCACAGGAGACACCTGGCAGGTTGGGAGTTTCTCCTCCTGTATCACCAGTGTGGAGTTAGGGCACTGTGGTAGACACCGAGATGCACTGCCCGCCATGCAGCTCTGGGCTTGGACCCAACAGCTCCCTGTCAACTGGGGACAGGTGAAGAAGGCAGCAGAGGGCAGAGATGACGGTGACGGAGGTGTGTATTAAAAGACCGAGTATGCCACACCCATTAACAAGGTCCTCTGCTGTTCCTGACAGCCCACAGTGTGTCTGCATTCCTCCTCTCCTGAGACAGAGGCCTTCCCAACTCTGGGTCACATCCATCTGCTCTGGAAGGCGCCCAGGGGAAGCCCTTGGTTATGGAGTGACACCCACCACTGAGAGACTGCAGCAGAGACAACACGCACAAGTCATCACACAGCTTTTAAACTGTGGCTAAAGGGAAACCAGCCACTAAGCAAAAGCTCCTTCTGACCAAAGCTGCTGACCACACACCACTGCAATCAGGGTCTCCTAAAGATACCGCATCCACACATTCATTTCTCAAAAATAAGACAAACGAGAAACCCTGAGACACAGGATAAAATATTCGAATCTCCTCATGTTTAGTGGTAAAATATAGGGACAAATTATTCACCACTTATCTGTGGTTTTGCTTTGTATGGCTTTGTTTTTTTTGTTTTGTTTTGTTTTGTTTTTATTTAAGAGGAAAAAGAGAAAAACACAAAACAAACCAAAGCGGCGTAAGGGTACACGCAATACAGAACTACAAAAAATCACAAAACAAAACAAAACAAAAAAACATAACAGTAAGAAATCACCTGCTAGTAGATTACACACTATCTTCTTGAAAATAGTTCCTCAAATCACAGTATCAAAGAACACAAGGTGGACATTCTAACAGGGAGACTGCCAACAGCTGTGTTCAATGTTCCAAAAACATTGATAAAGTCAGCTATTTAACACCCCAAACACACTTGCTGTTATATCCGTTAGAGCTCTTTTTCTTTTTTTTTTTCCCTCTCTTTTTTACAACAAAATTTACACATCTTGGATTTTATTACTCCTTAGTGCTTATTACTTTCTTTGGGGTGGGGGAAGAATACAGTCAAATATGGCAAAACAAAGCTGTCAGTCAATACCAAGGATAGACATAGCACATGGTGTAGAACAGAGTACAAGTTTATCAACAATGGTTATCAACGTTGTCCCTTGTTTCCTTAAAAAGAATTGTCTATCTTATTAGATATTATAAAGTTGGACAAAACAGTAGAGAACAAGACCAATAAAACTTAGGCATTGTAAACATTACAGGACTTCCAAAGAAGACAATAGTCAAACCAGAATGGGTATCTTAGTGAATCTTATTGTCTTCAAAGTAGTTGCCTATGTCTTCAAACTTGATACTATCATATAGAATGGAACAGAGTCTAATCAGTCAAAACAAGATCGTGGGAGTACTACAGGACTTCAAAACAAGTTAATAGGAAATCGAAAAGAGTTACTATTTATATATCCTAATTTTTTTGAATTTTTTCTTTAATTAAGACAAACATAAGAAATGACTAAATAATTTTTTTGAAACAATAAGGGGGAGATTGAGATAAAACAGGACATAACAATATAACAATAGAGGTCACAGCATGACTGTTTCAACAACCTAGTACTTCACCACCTTAAAACCTGACTTAATAGTAGTTACCATAGTGTCTTTTTCCTTGAAATATTTGGATAAAACTTCATATACTCTAGCTTCAAATATTTTCATATCAAGAAGCCCAGAATAAAGCCTTTCTAATTAATGAGTGAAAACTTTATAAGGCTTCAAGGCCACCTAATGGGGAATCATGATTACCACATATTTTTATATATTTGAATCATTATTTACATTAGGGAAACTATTCGGTATTCACACATGCGAGATTGATTTATTTCGCTAATGAGTATGGTCTCAAGCTGCGCCCATTTATTGATAAATATCTCAATGTGATCCTTCTTTATAGCTGAATAATACTCCATTGTATAGAAATACCACAACTTTTTTATCCATTCCTCAGTTGATGGGCACTTGGGTTGTTTCCAAGATCTGGCGATTACAAATTGTGCTGCTATAAACATAGGTGCACATATATCACTGTGGTATGATGCTTTCAGTTCTTCTGGGAATATGCCTAGAAGTGGAATAGCTGGAATAAATGGGATTTCCAGTCCCAACTTTTTGAGAAATCTCCAGACAGATCTCCACAAAGGCTGTACCAGTCTACACTCCCACCAGCAGTGCAGGAGAGTTCCTTTTTCCCCACAGCCTCTCCAGTATTTGTTGTCGGTTTTCTTGATCCTGGCCATTCTTTCAGGAGTGAGATGGTATCTCAGTGTGGTTTTAATTTGCATTTCTCTAATGACCAATGATGATGAACATTTTTCCATGTATTTATTTGCCATTTGCATTTCTTCATCTGAGAATTGCATATTCATCTCAGATGCCCATTTTTGGATTGGATCTTTGAATTTTGGAGGTCTGAGTTTCTTTAATTCTTCATATGTTTTAGACAAGAGGCCCTTGTCTGAGAGAGAGTTCACTAAAATCTTTTCCCAGTTTGTGGGTTTTCTTTTCACTATGCTGGAGATTTCTTTTGACATGCAGAAACTTTTTAATAAGAAGTGGTCCCAGTTATTGATTCTGGGAAGTATTTCCCGTGCGGTTTGAGTCCTGTTCATGAATTCTTTACCTACTCCTATGTCTCCAAGGTTTCTACCTATTTTGTCTTCCAATAGATTTAGTGTTTCTGTTTTAATATTCAGATCTTTGACCCATTTAGATTTTAATTTAGTACATGGTGATAGACATGGGTCTAGCTTTAGTTTTCGGCAAATGGAGAGCCAGTTTTTCCAGCACCATTTATTAAAGAGACTGTCGTTCTTCCAGTGAACCTGCTTGGCTCCTTTATCAAAAATAAGGTGGTTGAGTGTGTTTGTAGTTGTGGTTGTATCTTCTAATCTATTCCATTGATCTTCA